AAATCATAAGTGTATTTGTCATTGAAATATAGCTGGATAACTTCCTTATATTGTCCCAACTAAAATTCACAATTTTTAAATACTTTTCGGTGAAGGCTCCTCCTTCTCGAGTCAAACAAGCCTACCTGAAGGCTACGCCACTTTGAATTAGGCCATTTCAGTGGATCTAAGTCACTTATGCCGGTGATCGTCCCCATATACCTTTACAAACGAAAGGGAAATCCGAGGACTTAAACAGAAGAAAATCGAAAAAACGAAACAATTGATAACCTAAATCAAGTAAAAGCTGCTCATTTAAACGTGATGAAAGAATATGAAATTTTTCACCTCCTTTTAGTGGATTCTTCAGTTTCGAACATCATGCCGAACCTCATACCTATCGATAGCTGAGTGCTGTAAACAGCCTTTTGATACTTGGCAAACGGAACAACAAAGTCTGATGGACATGCCCTGCAAAAATATAATAATTATGATTTACAGCCAAAAATGAAGCTTGAAATGGTTTTGTTCTAATTACTACTAAAGGTAAAAGTAGCAAGAGAGCCTTTTCATGAACAAAGTTAACATTGGGCTTTTGCTTAGATCATTTTATACACATTTATACAATCATAAGTGCAACGAGGAGCAGAAGTTAGCAAAATGCACAGAAAAGCTGTTTATTGTTTTTCCTTTTTTCCAGCCAGTAGCTTAGAATTAATTAATCTAAGTGTTCTGAATTTGTGTTAACATATTTCGAATACCTTGGATTGTAAAAGATCGTAAAAGGGCTTCTATTAGAAGCAGCATGAGCAGCAGCAGCAAGGATTCCTATGTGCATGCTATCGGCCGACAGAACTGAAGACGGCAAAGTTGTTTGCTGGCGGTTAACACGTCTAACTCCCAACAGTAGTTGCGACTTTTCATCCCTACATTGATTTAAAAAAAAAAAGAAAGAAAGAAAACAGTGACACTTTGAAAAACTGGAAATCTTGGCAATGTCACAAATTTCAAATATTTATATTGGAGCATAAAAAATTGCATTTTTTTTTTTTTGGTGGAATCTAAATATATGGTGGTTGATACACGACACTGCCGAAGGAAGCATCATAAATTGATCTTGACTTGAATAGAATAAAATTTTAATATCTAACAACTGAATAGAAAAGAAAACTGATGAACAATGAAAATAGACACCGGCTCAGTAGCGAGAAAAACGACGATAGGAACCTTCTTAGTGTCCTAGCCCAGCCGCTCATAATTACGGGTGGCAATTACACCCAGAAGGTAATGGGTTACTCCTACAGCACGTCCTTGTACAATACTCAAGGCGTCGCTGATGAAGAGAAGCTTTACTAAAAGAGGATTTCCCAAGGCTACAGGGCAAACTCGTCCAACCACTATTTTCGATACATTTTCCTCACCCCACTCACTGATGCAAAACGATTATTACCTCTCTTTCTCGAATACGTGGTCCTGAGCTATAACCCAACCGAAAGAAAATATATAGGATACAAGATACTTCAATGCTTACCTAATAAAAAGGACTGAATCGCCAGCTCTAAGCCGCTTTGAACCAACAAACATACTCCAACCGGTTGTGAGCAAATGCCGCTTAGGCTGCCCTAAATAACAACGAAAATTTGACAGCTAGGTGAGAATTGAAGATGACAAATTTTAGTTACATGTAAAAATGGAAAAGACAAACATTAAGGGATTGGAAAAACTTGAACTATGTGAGAGCAAAATGGAATGAAAACATCAAAATGCATGTTTACCTCTGTATATATGACGAAAAGTCCAGGTGTTACCATGCAAATCCCGAACAACAAGTTCTTGAGTAGGAGGTTGCATAGAGTAATCCTTAGATAGAATTACAATCATTTAACTAAATTGACGTATTAACGGTAGATTATAACACAAAAATTAATTTAATATTATAAATCATAGCTAAAATGACCATACTAATTGTGGGAAGAGCTTTTCTGCAGCTCTTCTAGGAACTGAGAAGCCGCCATGCGTACTCGTGTCGCTAGCTGTCATAGTTTTGCAGAAAAACTCGGTTGGGTGTTTACTAGGTTTCAGTCCAAAGCCAGGTACAGAAATCATGTCTTTTTCCTGAAACTTGAAAAGAAATTAAAAAGAAACAAAATAAACGTCTCATAGCCATTTCTCCAAAAGCTTCATTATGGAAAGTGATTTCCTATGTGGTTGGACTTACAGAATTCACAGGCTGGAGGCTCATTTGAGCATAGATCTCATCTGTTTCTTTGTCTGCCTATTTATCACGAGACAATTTAAAATCATTAAACGTGCTAAACAGCTTAGTCAGGATAGTATACAGGTGTTCTGCTTAAATAATAGATATAGGTATAATATTATTAGAAAGAACATACATGAAGTGTAACATTGTGAACTTGACACAGCAATTGAGAGGAGAGATTCGGATAGTTTGGTATCTCTGCAGTTGCTGGTCGATTAGTGGAAACCGCAACCTGTTCCAAACAAATTATTTCATTAAAAAAGAGATATTTTAATTCACAATGAGCATAAAGGAGCAGTATTTCTTGTAAATCCAGCAAAAGCACATAAAAAAAGTTATTGACAACTATATTCTTTAAGAGTAGCTCT